ATATATATATATATATATATATATATATATATATATATATATATATATTATAATTACAGAAACAGATTTGCTAGGGTAGAAATCGATATCTTTTCCCCCGTACAGCATAACGCGGTCGAAAAAGCGCGCCAACGGATCAATAAGAATTAGTCTGGCGCCCCCAAGAAAAGCGCGGGAAAGCTAGCTAAGAGCCAGGCAGGCAGGACGAACCAGTACACCTCCCGCCGCCCTACATGTCTCCGGGACTGGCATTCTCTGCTAATAAACTTTGAGTTATATATCTCAACGCATTCCCGGGGGACACGAAGAGACCTAAGTTTATTACCGACCTTAATTATAGAGTTATACTGCTTTTATAGAGGGTTTTATAGAGTTGGCCCGCCTCGCTGTTCCAGCCGCCAGCCCTGCGCCCATCTAGGAATTGAGCAACACAAAAGACGCGTCGAAATTTGCATGTAAAGTTTATATAAGCCATAACCCACTTGCATGTTTCATGAATAGTAGGCAGGGAATAGGATCCTGTTCATCCCTTCTGATCTATTATATTCAAAACATTGTACATATTTTATGGCCGTCCAACGCTCATACGCTAGACGAAAAGTTTCCAGAACGGGGGTAGCTTTTCGGAAACTTGGGGCAATAATGACTTGTCGGGCCCACCAGCCAATAGGAATCCAGCTCCTCCTGCCAACCCGTTTGTGATTCGTTGATCTCTGAGCGAGCTGCCTAAATTTGTATTTATATCACTGTTTAAAGTTGGATTAAGCCTTCTCGACATTATGAGTAATATGAGCGAGCTCAACAGCCAATCGCATTGCGCATGCGTGGAAACCCTGGCTTCTGATTGGTGGGGCTATAATGGAGGTTGGTGGTTATCGATGGCCTCCACGTGGTTAAATATAGTTGTTAATCATGCAAGAGCGTAATGCCGCTATTGTAGAAATAAAACATGAGGCACAAGACCCATTCTATTCCCAGGCTCATTGATCAAATCTGGGGCAGAATCGATAATGTAAACAACTTCAATCATATTTAATGACTACTTTATATTAACTGTCAGAGGAAGCACGGGGCGGCCGCTCCTCGTATTGTGCCTCCACAGGAAAAAAACATATTGATGATGTGTACAAATATTGGGAATAATTTATGGTTGTGAGGTTTTGTGGAAGAGGCAGGAGCGGAGGGGGTAGAAGGAGGGATGGGGGGTGGGGTTGGTAGGGAAGGGAGGATATGGAGGGGGAGAGGTGGGGTAGAGGGGAGGTAATAAGGTAGGAAATGCCTCATCTCTCCCCTATTCAACAACCAGACCTTTCACAATGATTAAGTCAACGATCCTTTTGACTATATTTTCAGCCAGCAAATATATTACATAATGCACTATTTACAATCACTAATAAATGTTATATATCCATCCAGAGTTTTAAGAGAACCTCTAACCTCCCGACTCATCATTTAGCATACCCATGAGGGGTAAAGTATACTCCAATATATCACAGGAATATGATTTACACAGCGACGGTGCCTAGTACACCCAAACAATGGTCGCTCAGCTTGTAAACATCATCACTTTTGGAGTCGTCTCGAGTCTTATTAGAAACTGCCATCCTTAATTACGGTTAAGATTAAAGCAAACTGTTTTTTTGGGGGTAACAATGTATGTGACGGTGTCAGACGCCAGGGCTGAATATGTGGGGATATGTTTAATGTTAATTTGTAGACGTCACTGATCCAGCCCGACGCTGATTACCATATACCGATGTTCCACCGCTTGACATGATAATATAGTGTCATCAGAATATGACGTTCCACAGTCTATCTACATCAGAATATGACGTTCCACAGTCTGTCTACATCAGAATATGACGTTCCACAGCCTGACTACAATAGAATATGACGTTCCACAGCCTGCCTAGAACAGAATTTGATGTTCCACAGCCTGTCTACATCAGAAAATGGCGTTCCACAGCCTGCTTACAACAGAATATGACGTTCCACAGCCTGCCTACATCAGAATATGACGTTCCACAGCCTGCTTACAACAGAATATGACGTTCCACAGCCTGCCTACATCAGAATATGACGTTCCACAGCCTGCCAACATCAGAATATAACGTTCAACAGCCTGCCTACATCAGAATATGACGTTCCACAGCCTGCCAACATCAGAATATGACGTTCCACAGTCTGTCTACATCAGAATATAACGTTCCACAGCCTGCCTACATCAGAATATGACGTTCCACAGCCTGCCAACATCAGAATATGACGTTCCACAGCCTGCCAACATCAGAATATGACGTTCCACAGCCTGCCTACATCAGAATATGACGTTCCACAGCCTGCCTACATCAGAATATGACGTTCCACAGCCTGCCTACATCAGAATATGACGTTCCACAGCCTGCCTACATCAGAATATGACGTTCCACAGCCTGCTTACAACACAATATAACGCTCCACAGCCTGCCTAAAACACAATATAACGTTCCACCGCCTACCTACAACACAATATGACGTTCCACAGCCTACCTACATCAGAATATGACGTTCCATAGCCTACCTACAACACAATATGACGTTCCACAGCCTGTCTACAACACAATATGACGTTCCACAGCCTGCCTACATCAGAAAATAACGTTCCACAGCCTGCCTACAACGGAATATGACGTTCCACAACCTGCCTACAACAGAATATGACGTTCCACAGCCTACCTACAACAGAATAAGACGTTCCACAGCCTGCCTACAAAAGAATATAACGTTCCACAGCCTGCCTACAACAGAATATGACGTTCTACAGCCTGCCAACATCAGAATATGACGTTCCACAGTCTGAAAACATCAGAATATGGCGTTCCACAACCTGCCTACATCAGAATATTACGTTCCACAGCCAGCCTACAACAAATATAACGTTCCACAGCGTACCTACAACAAATATAACGTTCCACAGCGTACCTACAACAAATATAACGTTCCACAGCGTACCTACAACACAATATAACGTTCCACAGCCTACCTACAACACAATAAAACGTTCCACAGACTACCTACAACACAATATGACGTTCCACAGCCTGCCTACATCAGAATAAGACATTCCACAGCCTGCCTACATCAGAATAAGACGTTCCACAGCCTGCCTACATCAGAATATGACGTTCCACAGCCTGCCTACATCTGAATATGACGTTCCACAGCCTGCCTACATCAGAATATGACGTTCCACAGCCTGCCTACATCAGAATATGACGTTCCGCAGCCTGCCTACATCAGAATAAGACATTCCACAGCCTGCCTACATCAGAATATGACGTTCCACAGCCTACCTACACCACAATATGATGTTCCACAGCCTGCCTACATCAGAATATGACGTTCCACAGCCTGCCTACAACACAATAAGACGTTCCACAGCCTACCTACACCACAATATAACGTTCCACAGCCTGCCTACACCACAATATAACGTTCCACAGCCTACCTACACCACAATATAACGTTCCACAGCCTACCTACACCACAATATAACTTTCCACAGCCTGCCTACACCACAATATAACGTTCCACAGCCTGCCTACAACACAATATAACGTTCCACAGCCTGCCTACACCACAATATAACGTTCCACAGCCTGCCTACAACACAATAAGACGTTCCACAGCCTACCTACACCACAATATAACGTTCCACAGCCTGCCTACACCACAATATAACATTCCACAGCCTACCTACACCACAATATAACGTTCCACAGCCTACCTACACCACAATATAACGTTCCACAGCCTACCTACACCACAATATAACGTTCCACAGCCTGCCTACACCACAATATAACGTTCCACAGCCTGCCTACAACACAATATAACGTTCCACAGCCTGACTACACCACAATATAACGTTCCACAGCCTGCCTACAACACAATAAGACGTTCCACAGCCTACCTACACCACAATAAGACGTTCCACAGCCTGCCTACACCACAATAAGACGTTCCACAGCCTGCCAACACCACAATATAACGTTCCACAGCCTACCTACACCACAATATAACGTTCCACAGCCTGCCTACACCACAATATAACGTTCCACAGCCTACTTACACCACAATATAACGTTCCACAGCCTGCCTACACCACAATATGACGTTCCACAGCCTGCCTACACCACAATATAACGTTCCACAGCCTACCTACACCACAATAAGACGTTCCACAGCCTACCTACAACACAAGACGTTCCACAGCCTGCCTACAACACAATAAGACGTTCCACAGCCTGCCTACATCAGAATAAGACGTTCCACAGCCTGCCTTCATCAGAATAAGACGTTCCACAGACTGCCGACACCACAATAAGACGTTCCACAGCCTGCCTACACCACAATATAACGTTCCATAGCCTACCTACACAACAATAACACGTTCCACAGCCTACCTACAACACAAGACGTTCCACAGCCTGCCTACATCATAATAAGACGTTCCACAGCCTGCCTACATCAGAATAAGACGTTGCACAGCCTACCTACACCACAATAAGACGTTCCACAGCCTGCCTACAACACAATAAGACGTTCCACAGCCTGCCTACATCAGAATAAGACGTTCCACAGCCTGCCTTCATCAGAATAAGACGTTCCACGGCCTGCCTACATCAGAATAAGACGTTCCACAGCCTGCCTACATCAGAATAAGACGTTGCACAGCCTACCTTTACCACAATAAGACGTTCCATAGCCTGCCTACATCAGAATAAGACATTCCACAGCCTGCCTACATCAGAATAATACGTTGCACAGCCTACCTACACCACAATAAGACGTTCCACAGCCTCCCTACATCAGAATAAGACGTTCCACAGCCTGCCTACATCAGAATAAGACGTTGCACAGCCTACCTACACCACAATAAGACGTTCCACAGCCTGCCTACATCAGAATAAGACGTTCCACAGCCTGCCTACACCACAATAAGACGTTCCACAGCCTGCCTACACCACAATAAGACGTTCCACAGCCTGCCTACGACACAATACACAATACTGATGCCAGGGAACGCGCCGGTGAGAGCCAGACTGATGTTTAATAAGAGCGCTGTCATAAATCCTGCCGTCAAGACATGTACGGTGGTGGAGCGGCAGGGAGGCACCGTAGCGGGAGGCACCGTAGTGGGAGGCACCGTAGCGTGAAGCACCGTAGAGAGAGGCACCGTAGCGGGAGGCACCGTAGCGAGAGGCACCGTAGCGGGAGGCACCGTAGCGGGAGGCACCGTAGCGTGAGGCACCGTAGCGGGAGGCACCGTAGCGGGAGGCACCGTAGCGGGAGGCACCGTAGCGTGAGGCACCGTAGCGGGAGGCACCGTAGCGGGAGGCACCGTAGCGTGAAGCACCGTAGCGAGAGGCACCGTAGCGGGAGGCACCGTAGCGGGAGGCACCGTAGCGTGAAGCACCGTAGCGAGAGGCACCGTAGCGGGAGGCACCGTAGCGGGAGGCACCGTAGCGGGAGGCACCGTAGCGGGAGGCACCGTAGCGTGAGGCACCGTAGCGGGAGGCACCGTAGCGGGAGGCACCGTAGCGGGAGGCACCGTAGCGGGAGGCACCGTAGCGGGAGGCACCGTAGCGGGAGGCACCGTAGTGGGAGGCACCGTAGCGGGAGGCACCGTAGCGGGAGGCACCGTAGCGGGAGGCACCGTAGCGGGAGGCACCGTAGTGGGAGGCACCGTAGCGGGAGGCACCGTAGCGGGAGGCACCGTAGTGGGAGGCACCGTAGCGGGAGGCACCGTAGCGGGAGGCACCGTAGCGGGAGGCACCGTAGTGGGAGGCACCGTAGCGGGAGGCACCGTAGCGGGAGGCACCGTAGTGGGAGGCACCGTAGCGGGAGGCACCGTAGCGGGAGGCACCGTAGTGGGAGGCACCGTAGCGGGAGGCACCGTAGCGGGAGGCACCGTAGCGGGAGGCACCGTAGCGGGAGGCACCGTAGCGGGAGGCACCGTAGTGGGAGGCACCGTAGCGGGAGGCACCGTAGCGGGATGCACCGTAGCGGGAGGCACCGTAGTGGGAGGCACCGTAGCGTGAAGCACCGTAGCGGGAGGCACCGTAGCGTGAAGCACCGTACCGGGAGGCACCGTAGCGGGAGGCACCGTAGCGTGAAGCACCATAGCGGGAGGCACCGTAGCGGGAGGCACCGTAGCGAGGCACCGTAGCGGGAGGCACCGTAGCGTGAAGCACCGTACCGGGAGGCACCGTAGCGGGAGGCACCGTAGCGTGAAGCACCGTAGCGGGAGGCACCGTAGCGGGAGGCACCGTAGCGAGAGGCACCGTAGCGGGAAGCACCGTAGCGGGAAGCATCGTAGCGTGAAGCATCGTAGCAGAAGGCACCGTAACAGGTGTGACATCATATTAGGGGAGACACCATAACGAGCGTGACACCGTAAAGGGGGGAGGTGACACCGTAGCCCGACGGAGTAATTAGGAGAGGCAACAAGGTGAAACAGTCCTGAAACAGAGCAATAATTTAGGGAAGAGTCATGACTCAGACGAGGAAGAACTGCCTGACCTTTCACGGTACAGTCACCATACTGTGCAGTGATGCACCGTACCGGTCACATGGTGTCTCTTGGCCCCATGACTTATGCTGTAGGTACAGTACAAGCTTATGCTGCAGGTATAGTACAAGCTTATGCTGCAGGTATAGTACAAGCTCATGCTGCAGGTACAGTACAAGCTTATGCTGCAGGTACAGTACAAGCTTATGCTGCAGGTACAGTACAAGCTTATGCTGCAGGTATAGTACAAGCTTATGCTGCAGGTATAGTACAAGCTCATGCTGCAGGTACAGTACAAGCTTATGCTGCAGGTACAGTACAAGCTTATGCTGCAGGTACAGTACAAGCTTATGCTGCAGGTATAGTACAAGCTCATGCTGCAGGTACAGTACAAGCTCATGCTGCAGGTACAGTACAAGCTCATGCTGCAGGTACAGTACAAGCTCATGCTGCAGGTACAGTACAAGCTTATGCTACAGGTACAGTACAAGCTCATGCTGCAGGTACAGTACAAGCTTATGCTGCAGGTATAGTACAAGCTTATGCTGCAGGTATAGTACAAGCTTATGCTGCAGGTATAGTACAAGCTCATGCTGCAGGTACAGCACAAGCTTATGCTGCAGGTACAGTACAAGCTCATGCTGCAGGTATAGTACAAGCTCATGCTGCAGGTACAGTACAAGCTTATGCTGCAGGTATAGTACAAGCTTATGCTGTAGGTACAGTACAAGCTTATGCTGTAGGTACAGTACAAGCTTATGCTTCAGGTATAGTACAAGCTTATGCTTCAGGTATAGTACAAGCTTATGCTGCAGGTACAGTACAAGCTTATGCTGCAGGTACAGTACAAGCTTATGCTGCAGGTACAGTACAAGCTTATGCTGCAGGTACAGTACAAGCTTATGCTGCAGGTATAGTACAAGCTTATGCTGCAGGTATAGTACAAGCTCATCCTGCAGGTACAGTACAAGCTCATGCTGCAGGTATAGTACAAGCTTATGCTGCAGGTACAGTACAAGCTTATGCTGCAGGTACAGTACAAGCTTATGCTGCAGGTACAGTACAAGCTTATGCTGCAGGTACAGTACAAGCTTATGCTGCAGGTATAGTACAAGCTTATGCTGCAGGTATAGTACAAGCTTATGCTGCAGGTACAGTACAAGCTCATGCTGCAGGTATAGTACAAGCTTATGCTGCAGGTTCAGTACAAGCTTATACTGTAGGTACAGTACAAGCTCATGCTGCAGGTACAGTACAAGCTTATGCTGCAGGTACAGTACAAGCTCATGCTGCAGGTATAGTACAAGCTTATGCTGCAGGTACAGTACAAGCTTATGCTGTAGGTACAGTACAAGCTCATGCTGCAGGTACAGTACAAGCTTATGCTGCAGGTATAGTACAAGCTCATGCTGCAGGTACAGTACAAGCTTATGCTGCAGGTATAGTACAAGCTCATGCTGCAGGTACAGTACAAGCTCATGCTGCAGGTATAGTACAAGCTCATGCTGCAGGTACAGTACAAGCTTATGCTGCAGGTACAGTACAAGCTTATGCTGTAGGTATAGTACAAGCTCATGCTGCAGGTACAGTACAAGCTCATGCTACAGGTACAGTACAAGTTTATGCTGCAGGTATAGTACAAGCTTATGCTGCAGGTACAGTACAAGTTTATGCTGCAGGTATAGTACAAGCTTATGCTGCAGGTATAGTACAAGCTTATGCTGCAGGTACAGTACAAGCTTATGCTGCAGGTACAGTACAAGCTTATGCTGCAGGTACAGTACAAGTTTATGCTGCAGGTATAGTACAAGCTTATGCTGCAGGTACAGTACAAGCTTATGCTGCAGGTACAGTACAAGCTTATGCTGCAGGTACAGTACAAGCTTATGCTGCAGGTACAGTACAAGCTTATGCTGCAGGTATAGTACAAGCTTATGCTGCAGGTACAGTACAAGCTTATGCTGCAGGTATAGTACAAGCTTATGCTGCAGGTACAGTACAATCTTATGCTGCAGGTACAGTACAAGCTTATGCTGCAGGTACAGTACAATGTCATGCTGTAGGTACTAGAATGGAGATATATATGTATGTACACCTGCCCCTATGTAACCTTTCACCTAAGTCAAATGTATATGGCGTTGGTCAAGCCGACGAGGCGTTATAACCTGTTATCTTCAATCAGGTGAAGATGACATCATGATATCACCCTAACTAGATAAACGCCGAATAAAAACACCTGCAAATTAGATATCAAACAAAAGGTGTAAAGATATCACAAATTATTGAAGCGTTACGCATAAGTAGAAAACCCTTCACCATACACACGTAAATAATATTATTTCACTCTACCCACCATGGGAGTGAGAGCACTCTACCCCACCATGGAAGGAGAGCACTCTACCCACCATGGGAATGAGAGCACTCTACCCCACCATGGAAGTGAGAGCACTCTACCCCACCGTGGGAGAGCACTCTACCCCACCATGGAAGTGAGAGCACTCTACCCCACCGTGGGAGAGCACTCTACCCACCATGGGAGTGAGAGCACTCTACCCCACCATGGGAGTGAGAGCACTCTACCCACCATGGGAGTGAGAGCACTCTACCCCACCATGGGAGTGAGAGCACTCTACCCCACCATGGGAGTGAGAGCACTCTACCCCACCATGGGAGTGAGAGCACTCTACCCCACCATGGGAGTGAGAGCACTCTACCCCACCATGGGAGTGAGAGCACTCTACCCACCATGGGAGTGAGAGCACTCTACCCCACCATGGGAGTGAGAGCACTCTACCCCACCATGGGAGTGAGAGCACTCTACCCACCATGGGAGTGAGAGCACTCTACCCACCATGGGAGTGAGAGCACTCTACCCCACCATGGGAGTGAGAGCACTCTACCCACCATGGGAGTGAGAGCACTCTACCCCACCATGGGAGTGAGAGCACTCTACCCCACCATGGGAGAGCACTCTACCCACCATGGGAATGAGAGCACTCTACCCCACCATGGGAGTGAGAGCACTCTACCCACCATGGGAGAGAGAGCACTCTACCCACCATGGGAGTGAGAGCACTCTACCCACCATGAGAGTGAGAGCACTCTACCCCACCATGGGAGTGAGAGCACTCTACCCACCATGGGAGTGAGAGCACTATCCACCATGGGAGTGAGAGCACTCTACCCCACCATGGGAGTGAGAGCACTCTACCCACCATGGGAGTGAGAGCACTCTACCCACCATGGGAGTGAGAGCACTCTACCCCACCATGGGAGTGAAAGCACTCTACCCACCATGGGAGTGAGAGCACTCTACCCACCATGGGAGTGAGAACACTCTACCCAATATGGGAGTGAGAGCACTCTACCTACCATGGGAGTGAGAGCACTCTACCCACCATGGGAGTGTGAGCACTACCCACCATGGGAGTGAGAGCACTCTACCCACCATGGGAGTGAGAGCACTCTACCCCACCATGGGAATGAGAGCACTCAACCCCACCATGGGAGTGAGAGCACTCTACCCCACCATGGGAGTGAGAGCACTCTACCCACCATGGGAGTGAGAGCACTCTACCCACCATGGGAGTGAGAGCACTCTACCCACCATGGGAGTGAGAGCACTCTACCCACCATGGGATTGAGAGCACTCTACCCACCATGGGATTGAGAGCACTCTACCCACCATGGGAGTGAGAGCACTCTCCCCACCATGGGAGTGAGAGCACTCTCCCACCATGGGAGTGAGAGCACTCTACCCACCATTGGTGTGAGAGCACTCTCCCCACCATGGGAGTGAGAGCACTCTACCAACCATGGGAGTGAGAGCACTCTACCCACCATGGGTGTGAGAGCACTCTACCCACCATGGGAGTGAGAGCACTCTACCCACCATGGGAGTGAGAGCACTCTACCCCACCATGGGAGTGAGAGCACTCTACCCACCATGGGAGTGAGAGCACTCTACCCCACCATGGGAGTGAGAGCACTCTACCCACCATGGGAGTGAGAGCACTCTACCCACCATGGGAGTGAGAGCACTCTACCCACCATGGGAGTGAGAGCACTCTACCCCACCATGGGAGTGAGAGCACTCTACCCACCATGGGAGTGAGAGCACTCTACCCACCATGGGAGTGAGAGCACTCTACCCACCATGGGAGTGAGAGCACTCTACCCACCATGGGAGTGAGAGCACTCTGGGAGTGAGACCCACTCTACCCCATGGGAGTGAGAGCACTCTACCCACCATGAGAGCACTCTACCTACCATGGGAGTGAGAGCACTCTACCCACCATGAGAGCACTCTACCCACCTCTCATGGGAGTGAGAGCACTCTCCCCACCATGGGAGTGAGAGCACTCTACCCACCATGGGAGTGAGAGCACTCTACCCCACCATGGGAGTGAGAGCACTCTACCCATAATGGGAGTGAGAGCACTCTACCCACCATGGGAGTGAGAGCACTCTACCCACCATGAGAGTGAGAGCACTCTCCCCACCATGGGAGTGAGAGCACTCTACCCACCATGGGAGTGAGAGCACTCTACCCACCATGGGAGTGAGAGCACTCTACCCCACCATGGGAGTGAGAGCACTCTACCCACCATGGGTGTGAGAGCACTCTACCCCACCATGGGAGTGAGAGCACTCTACCCCACCATGGGAGTGAGAGCACTCTACCCACCATGGGAGTGTGAGCACTCTACCCACCATGGGAGTGAGAGCACTCTACCCACTATGGGAGTGAGAGCACTCTACCCACCATCGGAGTGAGAGCACTCTACCCCACCATGGGAGTGAGAGCACTCTACCCACCATGGGAGTGAGAGCACTATCTACCCACCATGGGAGTGAGAGCACTCTACTCCACCATGGGAGTGAGAGCACTCTACCCACCATGGGAGTGAGAGCACTCTACCCACCATGAGAGTGAGAGCACTATCCACCATGGGAGTGAGAGCACTCTACCCACCATGGGAGTGAGAGCACTCTACCCCACCATGGGAGTGAGAGCACTCTACCCACCATGGGAGTGAGAGCACTCTACCCACCATGAGTGAGAGCTCTACCCACCATGGGAGTGAGAGCACTCTACCCACCATGGGAGTGAGAGCACTCTACCCACCAAGGGAGTGAGAGCACTCTACCCACCATGGGAGTGAGAGCACTCTACCCACCATGGGAGTGAGAGCACTATCCACCATGGGAGTGAGAGCACTCTACCCCACCTCTATTCGTTTTCTCTTTCTTCTCCTGACTTAATATTTGTATATACAAATTTGATATTCCCTCGTGTCTTGTCTCCTCACTTGAGAGTGAACCATGTGGGTTCGAAACGTTGTGTAAAGTTATAATAGAGACAGTGTATTATGCAGTTCATTTTTGTTCTTTTATTTAACCCATGAACAAATGTGACATTTGAGAAGTCCTCTTCCAGATAAACCAAGATGGAAGAGCACAAGTCAGTGGGATGGAAGCCATAAACAGGAAAGTAATCATAACGGAATATAAATGTTTAGATGTGTATGGACATCTCTCTCTCTCTATCTCTCTCTCTATTTATCTATCTCTCTCTCTCAATTATTCATATCGACGTAATAGATTACATTATTACACCTGAATAATGAATGAAGCTGTCACATAAATATGATATATGGCATTACTGGATATGAATACTCAGAATTATTTGCCATAAACCGGTTTTTATGTCATTATTACCAGAGTTAAATAGTTGCAAATTGTGAGGTTAAGGAGTCGCGGTCTGCTCTCACAATGGGCACGTGTAAATGTACATTGTTGACCCGTTCTCGAAATGGGAGCTTTTAAATGTAAATTGTTTACAACACAGATGCGTTAATATTAAGAATTTGACCCATTTGGCCCAATTTATATAGTTACAAGAACTAGTTGGTCAGACCTACAACACTCGACTGCTAGACAAAAAAAAACTTTTACTTTTTGAATCATTGAATTGCTCCCAGAGTAGCCTAAGAAAAATGGAAAAGTAATTAAGTTTAACGCAACCTGTCCAAGCCATCCTAGGCCTAATGTAGACTATATTAGGCCTAATATAGTACGTATATATGTGCCTGGGAACGTGGTTATAGTGTGGTAGTGTGTGTGAGAATAGTATGCAAGAGTGGGAATAGTGTGTGGGAGCGGGAATGGTGTGGGAGTGAAATGGTGTATGAAAGAGATTTAAGAACGGCGTGTTTAACGAACAGCCGTTCGTTAAACACGCCGTTCAAACATCAACCCCACTAAAGCCCCAAGCGAACCCCCTGTATGTAAGGTTTCACTGATACCAGTTGAACCCCTGTGAGCTGAACTTGACACCCATTTAACCCCCAACATTCATCCTCAGCAACTGAACACCTCCGTGAATATCTGAACTTGACAACTGGTTGAACCTTCACTATGAAGGTTCTGATATTCCATTTTGTCTGATTTTGAGAACCGCTGACCCCATCAGACACGCCACAGTCGCTTCAGCCTACCACTAAACGTGTTGAACATCAGCAAATCAGTTCAAAATCAAAATAGCGTGACACTAGTTGAACTCCTACATATTGAACAAGTCCACAAGGGCCGTGACGAGGATTCGAACCTATGTCTGAGAGCATCCCAGACGCTGCCTTAATCGACTGAGCTACGACATGGTAAAAAAAAAAAAATAGTTGAAACCAGAAGTTCTACTGAACTACGAGAGTGAGAGCACTCTACCCACCAAAGAGAGTGAGAGCACTCTACCCACCACGAGAGTGAGAGCACTCTACCCACCACGAGAGTGAGAGCACTCTACCCACCAAGAGAGTGAGAGCACTCTACCCACCACGAGAGTGAGAGCACTCTACCCACCACGAGAGTGAGAGCACTCTACCCACCAAGAGAGTGAGAGCACTCTACCCACCACGAGAGTGAGAGCACTCTACCCACCACGAGAGTGAGAGCACTCTACCCACCAAGAGAGTGAGAGCACTCTACCCAC